TCAAACCAGGTATATGTATATCTATGATAATATAAGGTATTATGAATTATGATAACAACATGTATGTACAACACATATGTAAAACATTAGATAAAACTTATATATTATTTTCATCTTGCTAACATGTTTTYTAGGTACGGATATTATTTTTTAATATTGTAAATATTACTTAACAATTATTGTTAAATATTCTCAGTTACCGATTCAACTGGGATTTGTCAGCACAATAAATTGAATGACAATATATTGTTATTTTTACTATTCGATCACTAAATTTTTGAAACTACTTAATTAATGTTTAATTATTTTCTAAACACAACCAATTTATAAAAATAATATTATTTGTTCAAATATTTACATAAAACATAATCAAATTTTTATTCAATATATATAATATGTCAATACGTCATTATATTATATCACAGWAACAATACCATTATTTCTAATACATTTTCAAATTCACCAACTCTTTAAATCATAAAAAAAATTTTTAATCATGAATTGTGATTATAAAATATCCCAATATTAACAATCGTCATATGTGAGCTTATGATGTTTAATCTAGATTATTTTTTTTACATGCCTCGTGTAAAAATTATGCATATTTTTAATAATATTGTACATATTTTTAATAAGTTTCATAGATAGGTACTTATTATATTATAGGTAAATTTTATTTTTGTGTTTTATTTTCAAGCGCATAAATTATAGTGACGTGTGCATTGATGTTTTAAAATTCAAAATACTTTTGTACATCTAAMAATAAAATGAAATYCACTTTCCATGGTATAAAATATGTACAATATTATTAAAATATACAGTCACACTAATTGAGTCATGTCACGCGTTTTTAAATAATAAAAAATATTATATTACGAATGCTTACAATCAAAATAATTTTACATTTATATATTACTATTTCTTTTTTATTATATTACTTTAATCTACTCTACTGAGATGATACGATAGTCGATACCAAAATGGCATAWWAGAATTTTGAATTACGTTTATGCAACCAACCTGCATTTGAGTAAAAGTAAAATTTATAATAAATACTCAGTTTTTATTTTTACCAATAACAATAATTAAACAACGAATAATCAGAAACCGTTATACGTTTTTCAGCATTAACTCTGTTCGATCACTGATTAAAACGCATACATTTTTTAATTTAAAAATCAAATTTAAGGGAAAGGATAAATAAGTACTCCTTTAATAATATGTAGCATAATAAATTCAAATATGTTTTCAGATTTTTTTAATGTATTGTTTACTTCATCGATACGATGAATAAAATAAAAATTGATAATATTTGATAGGTTGTRTAGTTGTTTTCGTTACCTTTCATACGTTTCAGAATTACCTAAGTCTAAGCAATGACAAATAAATTAAATTATTATTATTACCCAAATAAAAAAAGAATAAAAGGAAAAAAAAAGATAATTATTGATTTCATGACAAATTTATAATATTATTAATTATTAATTAATAATTGTAAGGTTAAACTTTTAATGATAATATTCTGGTTTAGATTTGAAAATTGAACGATTTAAAAACTTGTTTTATTTTACGATCGTCAATTATTAATTGAAAATAACATTGGCAACTTATTATGATAATAATATTGATTTAAATATCTAACCTGTCTGTTGTCATATTGTTGAACTTAATGTTTTAACTACTCGATAGAATATTTTTTTTTTTTATCAAGCTCATTTACACATAAATTATAAAGAATCACGAACATTTTTTAGCCACCTATAAATTATATGAAATAAAAAATAAAATTGTATCAAAATCAAAAAAAAAAATCTCCAATTTATTAAATATGTATAAAACTTTTAGGTATAAGTATACATTTTACCAAAAAACATAATACACTTTGATTGATAAGAAAGATGAGCTGTGCCTGTGGTTTAATTATTATATTGTTTGATTAATAGTATCCGTGTCCGTGTCCGTAGCCGTTTCCATAGCCGTTTCCATAGCCGTTTCCATAGCCATTTCCGTAGCCATGTCCATAACCTTGGTTGCCACCATAGTATCCGCCATTATTGCCGTATCCACTATTGTAGCCATATCCATTATTGTAGCCGTGACTATATCCCTGTTGACCGTAGCCACTGTAACCTGGAAATCAAAATTAATTTGTTTAATAATGATATCATTATATGGTAATTTTCAAAGCATGTCTTACCTCCAGTGAAACCAATTCCAACTCCTACACCATATCCGCTACCATAATTATTATAACCTCCTCTGTGACCACCGTAGCCTCCGTAAGATCCACCATAACCACCACCGAAACCACTACTATATCCGATAAATCCGGTAGGTGTAGCTGTTGCGAGGGCTAGAGTAGCGGCCAAAAATACACACTGCAGCATACAAAAAAATAATTAAGATTTCACATAATACACTTCAAGAGTTTTGAATACTTGTAAAAATCTATGCTATTAATGGCAGTTAAACGACTAAAAACCCAAAACATGTTGTACTAATTCCTTTTTTCCTACTAACTATTTTTTTTTACGATTTACTTTTCAAACAATATTTTCATATTATATTTAATCACACATTTTTTTTTAAATATAATCAATTTAAAATAAAGGTGTGGTAAAACAATACATTATTTGTATTTGAATACAATTGTTACATTGTTTTGAAACAATATTCAATATAATAATAATCAACACGGTTAATTTGGTGTCCCGTTTTTGTAATTATGCATAGAATGAGTATTGTAAAGAAACACAACACGCGTCTAAAGTCACTAATCGTACGGCAATAACTTTTCTTAAATAATGGATCTGTCGTTTATTTCGGGGAAAGAGGTTTTTGTCTGGATTAAGTCAATCTCAGAGGCATYCCGATCAAACAGTTATACATAGTTTAATTTTATGATGTCTGATTYGGGCTTAAGAAATATTTTATCCACGATATTGTAACTGCATTTGATAGTTAAGCGTAGGTGCCTACATAGAACATAGTTACATATAATAATATATTATAATATAATATGGATGAATTCTCAGGTCACCAATACCAATTTCGTCGATTGTCAGTATTCGCGTAATTTTAATATAATAATAAATTTTAATATAGATACATTCAAAATATTCAATATTGCATGCCTG